ATAACTCAGAAAACTCATAAGTTGGGGCACCTGTAAGTCAAGGTACCACTGTACATATAAAATATGCAATAACTTTAAAACACTTGAAATTTTGTAAAGGTTTCAGACATGATAAAGAGATGTGCTAATGGAGGATGTAAGCCAACCAAGTAGGGTTCGCCATATATGAAAGACGGGTTGCCATATAGCGAGTTTTGGTCATAATTTGAAATCGCCACATTAGCGGAACACCGTAAGGTGAAACACCATAAAGCGGGGCCCTACTGTATAATGTGATTTACATGTAATAAAATATTGTTAAGCACAAAAGAAAGCCACTAGCATGTGGCACATTTCAGGCAGACTAATCCTTAGCATTTACCATATAATTAAAGTTTTTAGCATATGTAGCACTTATTTCTGTCTCTTGTAACCCACTCCAGTGATGTGCCTGCATAAAAAACTTTCTAATATCATTTTGATAATTCTGCATGCTATCATTATCTCACCTTTTTATCTATCAGACCAGTGAGGGCATATCTAATGACTTCAGTCTCTCCTTGGAGATTTTTTTTTTTTTTTTTTTTTTTTTTTAGCTATGAGAGCTAATTTACAGTATGTCTTTGGAATTTTTTCTATCTTGTCCATATGTATCTTTTAGGTGTGGACACCATTCTGCTGCTGCATATTCTAATTCTGGTCTTTTGTATGCATTTTACTATATGTGCTCACCGGTATGTGGTTACACAGGGTTAAGTCTTGGCTCCTAGCCTTGCCACTCAATGTGTCACTTGCCAAATTAACTCCCTCCAAGCCTTGTGGATCCTATCATATCTGCTCTTAAAAATATGTAGGAAGCCTGCCTCTGCCACTTCTTTGTCCAGGCTATTCCACTTCCTGATTACACTGAGACTGAATAGGTATTTCCTGATATTCCCATGACACATCTTGTCTACCCTTTAACTGTGTCCTCGTATACCTGTTCCCATCTCTCACTCTATCCCTGTCTTTCCTATCAGTTCCTCTTGAGTATTATGTATATTGTTATCATGTCATCCCTGGTTCTTCTGGTGTATAATTCTGGCAGGTTCTGTTCCTTTAGCCTCTTCTCACAGCTCATTTCCCTTAGCTCTGAAAAAAACAGACTTGTTGTATACCTGCATATATATGTGTACTTACCAACTTGTGCTTGTAAGGGTCAAGACTTGGTTCCTGGCCTTGCCACTAGACCACTTTGATCAACATCACTGATTTTTGGCCTCTTGGGCCTTGTTATATCTACTCTTGAATCTGTGTACCGAGTTTGCCTCCACCATTTCCTTGTCCAAGTTATTCCATTTCTCAACCACCCTGATGCTAAAGAAATATTTCTTTCATCCCAGTGTCCCCTTGATCTTGGTGCTCTTAATTCAGTCTATTAATATTTGCCCTATCAAGTCCTCTTAGGATTTTGTTTGTAGTAATCATTCTCCCTACCTTGTTCTCTCTGCCAGGGTCATAATGCTCAGTTTCTTATATCTCTCATCATAGGGCATTGCTCTCATTTCTAGTACTAGTCTGGTGGCAAACCTTTGGACCTTTTTTATCCTTTACATGTGTCTGACTAGACATGGACTCCATGCTGTATAATGAATGATTTGCTTAACATAGGTCATATAAAGAGTTCTGAAACATTATTTGTTCAAGATCCTAAATACTATTCTGAGGTTTTCTAATCTTACACATGCTGCTGCCATTATAGGATTTAAGTGCAATTCTGGTGATGTGCTAGGTGTTAATTTACCCCAGGTCTTTTTGACTCTAATGTTTGAAGGTTTTCCCTACCCATGATGTACTCTGACTGATCTGCCCTCTCCTCCAAAATGCATGGCCTTGCATTTGTTTGGGTTAAATCAAGAAGCCACCTGTTTGACAACTGCAGTCATTTCAGGTCTCTGGAGTTTACTGTCCTCTCCTATTTTCATTCTCCTCATTAATTTTACATAATTAGCAAATAGTGATTCATAGAACTCAAACCTTTCTGGTAGATCACTGCCTTATATTAAGAACAGTAGCAGTCCTTATACTGAAACTTGAAGGATCCCACTTCTTGTTCTCTCCCATTCTGTCTTATCCCTTACTGTTACTTGCTGCCTTCTCACCCTTCCTCTTCTTCTAATTTCTGGTGTGGTACTCTTATCAAATGCTTTCCTGCAGTCCACCCAACACTGTCTTGTTTTATCTCTGACTCTTACCATAGAACTCCAATAGGTTCACACAAGTATTTTCCATCCATACTAGTCTTCTACTAAGAAACTTCTCTCTACATGCTCAATATTCTTATCCCTGCAATTTTCTCCAGAAAACACTGTCAAAAGTTATGGAAAACTTTCGACAGTATTCATGCTAGTGATACTGTCCTGTAATTAACTGCCTCTTGAAGACACTTCCTACACAGAGGTTCTGCTCCTTCTCTAAAAACTCAAGATATGTAATCCGATCCCTTTTTTTTTTTTTTTTTAAGTCTTCCATCAGTGGTCTTATCACTTCTCGTGTTGATGCTTCCTAGCACCTGTTGCTCTGTTGTAACTAAAGTGCTCTTTACTTTCTTCCGTGAAGACCTCATTGAATCTTCTGCTATGTTCTACAGATATTTTGGTCAATCTCTATTAGCTTGTATACCTTATTCAGCCTTGCCACTTGCTCCCTGACAGGTGTCTTTTTCTTATGTGGTTGTGGAATAACTTGGTTCAGTTTTATCCTAGGATGTTTTATAATTTTCAAATTGTTTTTCAGCTTTCCTTCTTAAATTGTGTATTTGTTGTCTTGTGTTCAGTAGTTTGATTTACTCTATATCTGGTCCATGCCCCCTTGCACCTTCAGTTGGTGCTTATGCATTCCTGATTGAACCATGGACTCCGTTTTTCTTCCTGCTTGTTACAAATCTTTCCTTTGACTCTGTTTTCTCCATCCATTCTTGCAGTTTTGCCATCCATCTCCCTTTCCCATTGTACTTTTCTCAGAAAATTTCTCATTTCTCAAAAGTTAGTACAGCACCAGATTTCTTCTGACACCTAGTGGTTCCCCATAATTAATTTAAGCCATGTCATATTCATTTATGTGAAAATCAGATTGTCTCACTGGCTCATCTCCCCCTTTCACTGTTGTTCAATTGACTCACGAAATCGTAATGACACGATTGCAAACCATACCACAGGTGTGGTTTGAACCCACAGGTTCAAGCCCCACCTGTGGTATGGTTTGTCTTCTTCAATAATTCACTCAGAATTCTTTGCTGCTGCTCCCTTAAGCTTTGTGCTCTGTTTCTGATCCTCTTGTGTAGTCTTAAGTATTCACAGCTAACTGCCTTATGATTAAATCTCTTGCTCTGTCTCTATATGAATCACTGTCCTATTATTCTGATTATGCTCTTCTTTTGATTTCCTTTTGTTTGGCAGTGGATTATACATCACAACCACTATTACTCTCGACTCTCCAGACATTACAGTACATGAAATTTCCAGTTCTCAAAATTTCAGTGGCACCTGACTATCAGTGTTACTCCACCTCTGTTGTCCTTTTTCTTCTTGCTACTCTACTAAACCCTCTGAGAATGCTGCATTTGTTATTATTCCTGAGGGTTTTATCTGTAATGGTTACACTATCTAGGTTTTCACTTGTGTTGGTTACTCCATCTACATTTGGGTACCATGTTTTGATTCTTCTATCGCTCACTGTTTTCTAGGCATGTTTTTTTGTTACTTTGCTTTAAGGGATATTGGACAAGGAGTCTCTGTGGCGTTGGGGTATTTCTAGGCCTCCCCGCTACCCTCACCCCTGTCAGTTCACCACTGTCAAGATAGGTGGTCTATTTCCCATTCCAATCTTCTGCTTCTTCCTTTTTTTTTTTTTCCATATCTCACGTTATGTTCCTTCATCTTATCTTGGATATGCATCAAAATTATGAAATCCTCTCAGATTAGATTTTCTGTCCAGTGCCAAGATTCATGTTTCTGGCATCATACACAGAATTCACAATGCCATATGCTCCTATCCTTAAAAACACTGATTTTTGCTTGAGTTACAGTGGTACCTCGAGTTACAAACTTAATTTGTTCCAGAAGGCTGTTCGAGTGCTAATACCGAACAAATTTGTTCCCATAAGGAATAATGTAAATTAGATTTGTCTGTTTCAGACCCCCAAAAATACACTTACATAATTGTTCAAGTTGGGAGCTGTTCGAAACTCGAGGTACCACTGTACTTCAAACTCCCATTTCTTTCATCAGATCTCTAATTTGTTGTTCCTCCTCCCTACATACTTTCTTCTTGGGGTCACTTCATTAAACCCAAACAATACTAGAATTCTGTAAGTCATGCATTCTTGTTTCATCAAGGGTGCCCTCTCACATTTATTTCCTTAGTCATTTCTACTCTCTCAACTACCTAATCCTGTAAAAACCCTTGTGTAAATAAAATAAAAGAGAGAAAGAAACTGAGAAAAAAAAAAATGATAGAGAGATCCATGTATGTTACCTCAGTTGTGTTGGACATGTCTTCTTCATCAAACATGACCTTCTTAAAAAAAAAAAACTGTCCTTGTATGTGTCAGACTGCCTATTTGAAAGTAATCACATACACAATGTGAATTTAACAGACTGTATTATAAAAAGTAATGAACACTCAGCCATGAAAGCTTACTTAACATAAAAATGGGTGCTTATGTTAAAATAAAGAAAAGGATAATAGGAAAGTAGGAGAGGTGCTGTAGATGGAATGTTTCAGCACACCCAAGAGCATTTCTTATTTATAACTCACACAAATGTTGAAGGAAGATGGCCTGTACCTCATCAAGAAGTTCACATAGACTGGAGGAGGCAGAAGGCAGTAAACAGGACGTAAACAAGAGGAACAACAATGCATACCTGAACACTTGCATAAGACGGCACAACCACCAGTTAGTCCCACCACCACGAATCTGCCAGACACTGCTAAGCCTCGCTAACAGTGGTATATCTGAGATCGGACACTGGCATATTCACCTGGCTGATGATGTCCCCGTGAGCAGTACGAACTTGATACAAATACCGGTATTTCTTCTGCCGCATCTCAGCCCTGGCCTCTCGACTCCTCATTCGCTGGAGGTTCACACTTCGAGATTTTTTGGAGGGCACCACTGGAAAAACAAATATACCCATAATTTGAATTTACTTATTGACAAAGATGTATCCCTTTCTAATAAGCTTTTATCAGTGGTGACAGGCTAGGATGGACAGATGAAATTTTGGATGGCAGTGCCTGGAACTTGCTTTACGATGATTGAGTCTAGTATTCGTTAATGCAACACACACATCTTTATTGCATGCAGGATACACTTACAATACACTTGAGAACTAATATGCCTCTGTACACAGAATATTTATAGATGTTGCATTCATGACACCAACTGTCTTACCACATGCATATGAACGAAGATGAGAGATGGATATTTTTAAATCACAAAACAACTTTAAAGAGCTACAGTTTTTTCTGTCTAATAATCAAAATATCTTACACTGTTGGTGATAGATGCCTCTCCCTGTGATCCTCCATTGTGTAAGGCTACCCACCACCACCATAAAAGGCCAAACCCCCAGTATCATCCATGAAAACCAACACGGACGTTCACTGTCCACTGCCTTCAGCCGATCCTCAAACCAGTGAACCATTAAGAACTGAAATAAGGGAATGAATTGTAAACAATCTTCTATATTACTGTTGGAGTCAAAATGTACAAAATTAACTATAGTTGAAAAGGTACAGTAAACTCTTCAAAAACAAGCACTTGAAAAAATGAAATACTAAAAACTAGGTACTGCTAAGGATCAGCACAATATGTACTGTACAAATTTACCTTTGCGGAATTGGCACTTAATCAATATCCGCCAGGTCATCACAAAACAGAGCTATATTTGAAATTCTTAGAAAATGGAATAATAAGTAGGTATGTATTTTGGGGCTGGTATATACTGTACAGTAAACTGAGCTAACGTTTAAAAAAAAATTATATGGCTAGTTTTGATTTTAAAAGTATATAAATGGCTATTTCACTTATCTAATGTCAGTTCACATGATCATATACTTGTATATTTAAACAGTTCTTAATATTATTTTAGCATTCTAAATTCTGTAAATTTATTGTAAATGCTTATCCATTATTGTTGCCACCAAACAATTATTATAACCAATATTGTCAACCTGGTCAAAATTACTAGCTCTTCACTCCACATGTTATATTAACGTAGCATTCTGTCTGGGCAGCAGGCTTCTTCAATCAAATACAGAGGTGTTTAATATATTGGAGGCAGTTAAAGAAGAGACTTTTAGAAGTGGAAAGGTAATTCTGAGGTGGTTAGTCTCTCAGCCTTCATAGTTATTCAGTCCATAGGTTTGATCACAAGAAGTTGTTTTGTCTCAAACATCTACAAACAACACGCACAACTGCAGGGCAAACACACCTTCTCAATAAAGTAGTCAAGAGTGGCGGACATTATGGCTCCTCCGCTAATAGCTGTACCCAGGATGGTCAGCCCTTTCTGGAAATACAGCGTCATGATGGCCAGTAGCAATCCTGCTGCCAGAAGGATACCCACCACAGGCCATACACTACTAGGCACCCACCTGAGGGTTTCACAGGTACAGTATTAGTATACAACTTTCAAATTTTTTTAGGTATAGTACACAGCTGAGGATTTCATAAATATTAAATACACATACAGTATTGAAATTTTCCATTCATCCTCTAACTACCAGAGCATTTCAGTTATGTCACTGTTTATAATTTAATCACATTCTTTCTTAAGGTGAAACAGTTCACATTTATTAGTTACTGTAACTTTATAACCTCGGTATACTTTTTAATTCCTGAGGCATTCAAGATTTCACTTCATAATTTTGTGTTATGTCTTGAATTTTCAGAGTATATACCTTTGCAAAAACTTGAAGAATTTATCGATATTAAGGCTCCAAATTTCTAAAATTTCAGTGTATTCCATAGATGTATGAAGATTTTATAAGGAATTAGCCAATCCTCTAAAATTTATATTTGCATGTATCCATATTCACGGGTACTGTGACATAAAGTACTCTAGCTCGATATTAATAACAATTATTATTAGTTAATTATTGCAGTAGAAAAACAATAAATATGCATCCAGGGAGCAGCTTTCATAAAAATCACTAGTAAAATATTGTACCCAATTCCAAAATGCATAAATATTACCTACTGGGTCCACCATGAAGTTTTAAAAAAATAAGCTAGGAGGTGGAACATGAATGTGCAATTACACACTGCCATGCCTTTAACACCTATGTCCCTGCTCTAGTTGTGTATTTAGACAATTATTGAATACTCTATGTTGGGCACTGATAATAATGTGTGAAAAAGTTATTAACCTAGAAAAGTTGTGTAGTGAAAGGATGATTTTGACCGAGTTGTATCCAAGAAAATGTTCGGGGATTTCTACGACCAGGGAAGTCAGCTGGTGACTCGAGTGGGGCGTGAGAGAGCATCTTGTTCTGCTGGGGTTTAGGCAAGGTGGTTCACCTGTTCTAACTGGGAACAACTGTTCCTGGAGGAAACTTTCTTTTCTTTCTAATTCCACCTAAATTTAGGCAATATATTTTTCCCAGACTCCTGAGAAGCAGGGCTCAGTATGGTGTAAGCTGTGGACCTCAAAACTCTATCAAATCCCACTTCATTTTATTACAATAAAGCTGCATTTTTCTTGTTTTTTACTCTATAGATTCATTCATCTTTAGTATACATTTGCTTGGAATAGGTGAGGGGAGTTCCTGTATGTTTGGTACAATATGGTAAGGAAATGTGGCATACTTGAGTAATGTTAACAGGTTATATTATTATTATTATTATTATTATTATTATTATAATCAAGGGGGAAGCACTAAACCCGTAGGATTATACAGCGCCCAGGGGGGGATGTGGAAGGCATTCAGGCTTAATTCGGGGAACTGGAGCACAGATTCAATTCCCTAAATCAAGAGCCCCTCACCAACATCAAGGAACCTTCCTTGAGGGGTTAACAGGTTATAATAGAGGTGGTTGTAGGTGATAGTTGTGGTGGTAGGGAGGTGGTTATAGCAGTAGCTGATACTGTCTGACACATGTATATACCAGTATTGTACAGGGTCATATCAACCCTCTCCATGAACTTACAAATTAACAAGCAACAGCAACCACTGGTACAGACTGGTAAGGAAATGTGGCTTATTTTTACCAATGTTGACATGGCAGGTGATGGTGGTGGTAGGTACCTGTGACTGGTTCTGAGTCTTCCTAAGGCCAGGTTTTTGTGTTCACCTGGTCAACCAAACTGTTGCTATTGGTGACCTGCTGATCAACATATCCATCACAGCCTGGTTGGTGTGGCACTAGGTAGAGGTAAGGATCCAGTTTCCTCTTGAAGATTTTTACATTCTGATATCTGCTGATAATAGGCTGAATAGTTGTGGCACATTGATGTTGAGAGGGTACAATGTTCTATTGTGCTCATAGTGCCCATGCTTTTCATTGGGACGATTTTACACTTCCTCTCATATCTCATTTCAATATATTGTCACAGTAGGGTGTAGCTTTGGAATAATAATAATCTTTATTTCTACATGCATATATGTATTACTATACAGAAAGCTGCTTGTTATGCAGAACAATTCAAGCAAATTGGGTCAATTTTTGTCCCAGGATGCAACCCACACTAGTTGAGTAACACCCTGGTACCTATTTTACTGATGGGTGAACATGGACAACAGGTGCAAGGAAATGCACCCAATGCTTCCACCCTTGCTGGAAATCGAACCTGGACTCTCAGCATGTTAAGCGAGAGCTTTGCCAACCAGGTCAAGAGCCACTATAACTGGAACTAGACCATCAAGTATCTCAGTTCCAGAAAGAATATATTCAGTACTTTGAAACATTCTCAGTACAGTGGACCCCCGCTTAACGATCACCTCCAAATGCGACCAATTATGTAAGTGTATTTATGTAAGTGCGTTTGTACGTGTATGTTTGGGGGTCTGAAATGGACTAATCTACTTCACAATATTCCTTATGGGAAAAAATTCGGTCAGTACTGGCACCTGAACATACTACTGGAATGAAAAAAGTTCGTTAACCGGGGGTCCACTGTATTTTAAATGCAGGCAGTAAATGATCTCTGTGTTTTGGCTATGATATCTGTCTTGTCTTGAGCAGAGCCATCAACACTGAACATTACTCAAAGCAAGAGAGCACAAGTAATTTAAATGGTATAACTAGCGGGACCATTTCTCACTTTAAAAGTTCTAATCTACCCGTCATTTTCCTCGCTTTTGTGACATTCACCCTATTGTATTCTCTAAATGATAGGTCAGTGGACATTATACAACCATTTCTTTCATGTGTTCCTTTCCCTCTATTTAGTGGTCCTCTTGCATTTTGTATGAAGTGCCCCTTTTGAGTTCATTAACATATTTTAGCAGTTGGAATTTGTCACCAATGAACACCATGTTACTCTCTACTGTTTCACACTGGAAGGCTGCTTATATCCTCACACAGTTTTTGACTTCTTGCAAGGTGACCTTCATACACATTTTGGTATTGTCAGCAAATGAAAATACAAAGCTGTGACTGGCATTTTTATCCAAGTCTCCTTTGAGGATAAGAAACAAAGGCACTGGGACTGTGCCTTGGATTACTTTGTCATGGCTAGAATTTCTTTTATTTACTGTTACATTTTGTGTTCTATTTGTCAGAAAATTTAATATTCATTTGCTTACTTTTTCTGTTTCATATACTGACCTCATTTTTTGTGCTATTATTCCCTGATCACATTTGTCAAAGGCCTTCATGAAATCAGTGCATACCACATCTGTGTTTTGGTTTTCTTCTAGTGACTGAGATTTTGTCATAATAGTTTAGAAATTGCAACGAGGAGAAGGCTGGAGGCAGTGGAGATATTGTGTCTGAGGGTAATATGTGGTGTGAATATAATGAAGACAATCCTATTTTTTTTTATTTTTTATTATCACACCGGCCGATTCCCACCAAGGCAGGGTGGCCCGAAAAAGAAAAACTTTCACCATCATTCACTCCATCACTGTCTTGCCAGAAGGGTGCTTTACACTACAGTTTTTAAACTGCAACATTAACACCCCTCCTTCAGAGTGCAGGCACTGTACTTCCCATCTCCAGGACTCAAGTCCGGCCTGCCGGTTTCCCTGAATCCCTTCATAAATGTTACTTTGCTCACACTCCAACAGCACGTCAAGTATTAAAAACCATTTGTCTCCATTCACTCCTATCAAACACGCTCACGCATGCCTGCTGGAAGTCCAAGCCCCTCGCACACAAAACCTCCTTTACCCCCTCCCTCCAACCCTTCCTAGGCCGACCCCTACCCCGCCTTCCTTCCACTACAGACTGATACACTCTTGAAGTCATTCTGTTTCGCTCCATTCTCTCTACATGTCCGAACCACCTCAACAACCCTTCCTCAGCCCTCTGGACAACAGTTTTGGTAATCCCGCACCTCCTCCTAACTTCCAAACTACGAATTCTCTGCATTATATTCACACCACACATTGCCCTCAGACATGACATCTCCACTGCCTCCAGCCTTCTCCTCGCTGCAACATTCATCACCCACGCTTCACACCCATATAAGAGCGTTGGTAAAACTATACTCTCATACATTCCCCTCTTTGCCTCCAAGGACAAAGTTCTTTGTCTCCACAGACTCCTAAGTGCACCACTCACTCTTTTTCCCTCATCAATTCTATGATTCACCTCATCTTTCATAGACCCATCCGCTGACACGTCCACTCCCAAATATCTGAATACGTTCACCTCCTCCATACTCTCTCCCTCCAATCTGATATTCAATCTTTCATCACCTAATCTTTTTGTTATCCTCATAACCTTACTCTTTCCTGTATTCACTTAATTTTCCTTTCCCCTCCAAATTCAGTCGCCCAATTCTGCAACTTTCTGTCAGAATCCCCTTTTGAGACAGTGTACACAAAGCAGCTTGAAACCACTTTGTCACGTGATTCCATCTTTAACTCCACGCTTTCACAGGACCCTCGCTGTTATTCCTCACAACCCTATTTAACTTACTTAAACAACAGGTGACCACCACTTTCTAGCCTACATTTTGGTATGCGCGAAATGAAATTCCTCTACAACTTAAGCTTGAGCTGCACTTTTACCAATCTCACTTTTCAGTAACACCTACACCATAATGCAAATCTGCCTCATTGCCCCATTCACCTGTCTAGCCTTTCATGCCATAATGCAAAGACTTTCCTTTTAAATACTGTTCACTTATATGTGTTCATTGTCAAAACACCTTCACAACCCTATCTTTCCTTAAGCTCTTTATCTGTATTCCTATCTCGACTTACTTTATTTTGTCAATTATACTCACCTATCACATTTCAGGTTCACTCAAATCAGCTTATCCCACCTATATTTTTGCACTCTTTTTTCATATAGAGGTTTGGTAAAATATACTCTCATACATTCCTCTTGCATCCAAGGACAAAGTTCTTTGTCTCCAAGATCTAGTGCCACCACTTTTTCCCTATCAATCTATGGATTACCTCATTTGTGCATATGACCATCG